ATCCTTAATGTGTGTGTGCTAACAAGAAAGCATCAAACTATTTGAGGCCAGCAATGATTGAACTGTAAGAAAAAAATTTAAAAATCCATCTGCTGGGCACGGTGGCTCACACCTGTAATCCCAGCACTTTGGGAGACCAAGGCAGGCAGATCGCCAGAGGTCAAGAGTTTGAGACCAGCCTGGCCAACATGGTAAAACCCCATCTCTACTGAAAATACAAAAACTAGCTAGATTACAGGTGGCAGGTGCCTGTAATCCCAGCCTCTCGGGAGGCTGAGGCAGGAGTATCACTTGAACCTGGCAGGTGGAGGTTGCAGTGAGCTGAGATCATGCCACTGCACTCCAGCCTGGGTGACAGAGCGAGATTCTATTAAAAAAAAAAAAAAAACTACTATCATAGTTGGAGGCTTCAACACCAGTCTATCAGAAATAGACAGATCCAGCAAGCAGAAAATCAGTATGGACCTAGTTGAACTCAATATTATCCATTAACTGTATATAATTAATATCTATAGACTACTTCATCTAACAGCAGCAAAAAAACACACCCTGGGATACATTCCTTTAAACTGCTTCAAAGAAGTCTTTTTTAAAAAGTAAACATATAGGTTTTGGTTGATGCAGAAATTTACCGCTCCTTCCCATCGATACACAATGAAGCATATACAACATAGCAAACCTCAATACCAAAATAAATATCTCAGAGAAAAGAAAAACAGACCAGCAATAAGAGAAGGTCAAAGCCTCAGAGCAAGAGTCGAAATTTTGGATCATGTGATAACTGCCAACTTGTTTGGATTTAAGAATTTAAAGTATTGTATCTGGGTGTGTTCCATGTTGCCAAAGGAGATTAACATTTGAGTCAGTGGACTATGGAAGGCAGACTCACCCTCAATCTGGGTAGGCATCATCTAATCAGCTGCCAGTGCTGCTAGAATAAAGCAAGCAGAAAATGGAAGAGAAGATTTGCTGAGTCTTCCAGCCTTCCTCTTTCTGGATGCTTCCTGCTCTCGAATCATCAGATACCTAGTTCTTCAGCTTTTGGACTGTTGAAATTACACCAGTGGTTTGCCAGGAGTTCTTGGGTCTTTGGCCACAGACTAAAGGCTACACTGTCGGCATCCCTACATTTAAGGTTTGGGGACTCAGACTGATCCACCACTGGCTTCCTTGCTGTTCAACTTGCAGACAGCCTGGCCTGTTGTGGGATTTTACCTTGTGATTGTGTAAACCAATTATCCTTAATAAATTCCTTTTATATATACATATATCCTATTAGTTCTGTCCCTCTAGAGAGCCCTAATACAGATCAGAAACAGGGAGATGCACTAGAGAATTTTTTAAAAAATAAGCTAGAGGAATAGCCCTTGAATTCAGGGTCCAGAGATACTGTAAGAATCTTGTTCTCATGATCAGTGACTAAAATACATCTTATCTTATGCCGCCTGTGGCTTCTACCTACAAGCTTATTAAATAGCTCTCAATAATTAGGGAAAACCCTTAATCATGTCCTACATCAAACTGCCCAATGGTTCCAGCAAATGATCTGAATTTTATTTATAAGAAAATGAGCCTGTGCTACCAATGCAAAATCTGGTTCTGACTGGGAACTCAGGTGGGATCCAAGGAGTCCAACAGGTACCAACATAGACATGTATACCCAGCCTCTTTTTTTCCATAATAAGCTTTAAAAAAAGAAGTTTCAGACAAATGAGGAAAGCTATGTCATGAGATAATCATCTATTGGGAGAATTAGCTACCATCTGTGAAAGGACATATATTAGAATAATCTTCTAAAAATAATTTAAAGCCAATATATTTTAAATACTTAAAAAGAAAATAATATTCCTTTAATAATCAAAAAAGTTATAAAACAAATATATGTAGACTTAAATCAATGATAAGTAGAAAAAAATAATTTTGGGAGATAAAATAGATATTAAAATAAAAATAGAAAACTCATAAACAGTGCATGTTATAATGACTCCATGTAAAGAGAGAAATAATCAAAACAATATACTCAGGAATTGATACAATGCAGCACAAACATTAATGGCGTGGACAATATAAAAAAATAAGTTAGGAAATAGAAAGAATAAATTAAAAAATCACCAAAACATACCTGAATGAAGATTCAGAATTAGAGACTAGAAGAAATAGCAGAGACAAAAGATTACATAAATTGGAGTTTTATGGATTGAAAAGACATGGGCCTTAGACTGACAAAATTGCATCTAATTCCAAGCAAGATAAATAAAAATAAAGCCACACATGTATATGTCACTATAAAGTTTTATAACATCAAGAAAAAACCGAAAACCTTAGAAGCTACGAGAGAGAAACATACAAATACCTATGTAAGAAAGTGACAATTTGACAGCAAACTTGTCATCCACAACCACCGAAGCAAAAAGTAAATAGTCCTTTTAAAGTACAGGGGAAAATGTCTAGAATTCTATATCCTGGTAAAATTATATATAATTATATATATTTTATATAAATTATTAATATATTTATAGTTTTTCTCCAATACTGAGATAAAAGTAAATATATGAGTACTCAACCCACAGATCATCATTGAAAAAAAAAAATTAAAATTTGTTCTTCTGATAAACCAAAAACTTTCTCAGATAAGAAGTGAGATGCAAGAAAAAATGGTAAGGCCAGGTGCTGGTGGCTCAGGCCTGTAATCCCAGCACTTTAGGAGGCCCGAGACGGGAGGATCACTTGAGGTCAGGAGTTTGAGAAAACCGTGGCCAACATGCTGAAACCCTGTCTGTACTTTAAAAAACACAAAATTTACCTGGGCATGGTGGCGTGCATGTGTAGTCCCAGCTACTTGGGAGGTGGCGACAGAAGAATCGCTTGAAACTCCGAGGCAGAAGTTGCAGTGAGCCAAGATCACGCCATTGCACTCCAGCCTGGGTAGCAGAGCGAGACTCCATCTCAAAAACAAACAAACAAACAAACAAAAAAACAAAAATACGTGAGAAAGAAAAAAGAAATGGTGAGCAACATTTCAGTAAAATATTTTCATTAATTTAATTGACAATTGAATGAAATATATTTGTAATATTTTAACCTTGAAAAAAAAACAAGAAATACTAAATAGCAGTAATTAAAAGATAGAATGGAAGGGAGTGGATTGGAAATTGATCAAAATATTAGAAGACATTGGCCTCAAAAAGTCCTGGCATTACACACATGAGCCACTACGCCTGGCTCAGAAGATTGAAGAACCAATAACCTAGCTTAATGAAAAGAAAAATGTGAAGTAGTCTGCACCCCTAAAATAGGGTAAATGCATTCTCATCAAACACACATGAAGTATTTACCGAATGTCTCTATTTTCTAATCAGTAAAGGAAGCATCTATGGATTCCACAGAATATGTGTTATACAAACCATGTTTTCTGATAACACAAACTATAATCCAACAGTAAAAAGATAGCTTAAAAGTTTATTTTTCAATATTATATAGACTAATAAGAAAATTATTAAAGAATATGGGAACTATTTAGAGCTCAAGTGGCAAAATACTTGTGATAATGGTACTTTAAAAGTAAATCAACTAATTTTTGAAATAATTAAGCTGAGTGATGAATTCTTAAACCTCAAGAAAAAGCAGATATTTGAATCAAAATGTAAGAAAACAACTAGATGGAAATAGACAAAGGACTGCAATGGGAGTTTCACAAAAGATGAAATTGACAACAACAAATAAGGAGGTACTTCATCTCACTAGCTTCAGGTGAATATAAATGAGTATCTCAAGGAGACATTGTTTATTTTTTTTTCAACCTTTATTTTAGAAACAGAGGGTACATGTGCAGGTTTGTGAAAAGGATTTATCACATGATGCTGAGGTTTGGGGTATGATTGGACCTATAACCCAGGTAGTAAGCACAGTACCTAATAGGTAGTTATTCAGCCCTCCCCACCTCTCCAACTAGTAGTCTATCATCTCTTATTCCTATCTTTAGGTCCATATGTACCCAGTGTTTGGCTCCCAGTGACAATACGTGGTCTTTGGTTTTCCGTTTCTGTGTTGGTTCGCTTAGCATAATGGTCTCCAGTTGTATTCATGTTGCTGCGAGGGACATGATTTCATTCTTGTTTATGGCTGTGTAGTATTCCATAGTGTATATATACACCACATTTTCTTTATGTAATCCACTGTTGATGGTTACTTAGGTTGATTCCAGGTTTTTGCTATTGTGAATAGTGCTGCAACAAATATACAGGTCCCTGTGTCCTTTTGGTAGAACAGTTTATTTTCCTTTGGATATATACCCAGTAGTGGGATTGCTCAGTTGAATGGATAGTTCAAGTCTCAGTTCTCTGAAAAATCTCCAAATTGCCTTCCATACTGGCTGGACTAATTTATATTCTCACAGCGTTTAAGTGTTCCCTTTTCTCTGAGCATCACCAACATTCATTATTTTTCTTAACCCTTTAACAAAAACCATCCTGACTGGTGTGAGATGATATCTTATTCTGATTTTGATTTGCATTCATATAATAATTGGTGAGGTTGAACATTTTTTCATATGTTTGTTGGCCACTTGTATGTATTTTGAGAAGGGTCTGTTTATGTCCTTTGCCCATTTTTTAATAAGATTATTTGTTTTTTGCTTATTGATTTGTCTAAGTTCCTTACAGATTCTGGATATTAGATCTTTATTAGTTTCATAGTTTGCAATTTTTTTTTTTTTTTTTTGAGACGGAGTTTCACTCATGTTACCCAGGCTGGAGTGCAATGGCACGATCTTGGCTCACCACAACCTCCGCCTCCTGGGTTCAGGCAATTCTCTTGCCTCAGCCTCCTGAGTAGCTGGGATTACAGGCACGCACCACCATGCCCAGCTAATTTTTTGTATTTTTAGTAGAGACGGGGTTTCACCATGTTGACCAGGATGGTCTTAATCTCTTGACCTCGTGATCCACCCGCCTCGGCCTCCCAAAGTGCTGGGATTACAGGCTTGAGCCACCGCGCCCAGCCAGTTTGCAAATATTTTATCCCATTCTGTCACTATCTGTTTACTGTGTTGATAGTTTATCTTGCTGTGCAGTAGTCCCACTTGTCAATTTTTGTTTTTGTTGCAATTGCTTTTGCGGACTTAGCCATAAATTATTTCCTGAGGCCAGTGACCAGAATACTGTTTCCTAGGTTTGTTAGAGTTTGAGGTCTTACATTAAAATTTTTAATCCATCTTGAGTTAACTTTTGTATATGGTCAAATGTATGGGTCCAGTTTCATGCTTCTGCATATGGCTAGCCAGCTATCCCAGTATCATTTATTGAATAGGCAGTCATCTCCCCCATTGCTTATTTTTGCCAACTGTGTTGAAGATCAGATAGTTTTAGGTGTGTAGCTTTATTTCTGGACTGTTTTCTGTTCTATTGGTCTATGTGTTTGTTTTTGTACGAAGACCATGCTGTTTTGGTTAGTCTTGTAGTATAGTTTGAAGTCAGGCAATGTGATGCCTCCAGCTTTGTTCTTTTTGCTTAGAATTGCTTTGGTTTTTCAAGATTATTTTTGGCCCTTTATGAATTTTAAAACAGATTTTTCTAATTCTGAAGAAAATGACAACCTATATGCCAAACATATTGGTAAAAACTAAAAACAATTTGACAATCCAATGATAATTTGGTTGTGGATGTAGATTGTTTCCATTTTACCCATGCTGAAAGAGAAACAGTAAATCTTAACTCACAGTGTCAAACGACTGGAAATGATGGAGGTGAGCTGGTTTCCAAACTGACACTCTAGACTGGTATATTTGAGTGCCTTCCAAGAACAGCTAAGAAAATTCTGAAAAATAAAACAATGACAGTTCATTGACCTTCCAACTTTCTGAAGTCCCTAGATCTTTCATACCCTACAAATTGTCTTAATTAATATTAAACTACAAAAGCAAAGAACTTTGTCCATCTACTCACTTAACATCAGATGAAGACTGAAAATAACACTGTCCTTGTTTTAATCTTAAATTAAAGCATACTTAACAAATACTCCTGGGAATATTTTTGCTATCTCCATCCAAAATTCTTACACATACACACACACAAAGTTTTAGTTTATCTGTTTTCAGAAGGCCTACCTTTGTACTCTGCTAACTTCTTTTCCTCTTTCCCCGACTTTTTCTCCTTTTTTTCCTTCCATTATTTTGGCCATAAAGTACACTGTGCCAGACATTGTTCTAAATGCCAGAAATACAAAGATAAATTAAAAATGACCACTTTTTGGGTAGAGATTACAATTTTGTATAGAGACTTCTTATGAACGAAGAATTATATTTATAAAAATAAATGTACTAACATTTCATAAACTAATAGCAACCAAACTTTCTTCATTGGGTTATTCTTGATCTCTCTCTAAGAGATTTTGGTAACTTTTACTGATATTCACAATACACTTTATTGACTACATATGGAAAAATCATTAACTGAGAAAAATTTCAGTAATTAATGAACTCTAATTACATTCTTTCAATTAAATGTGTTCTCTTTTAAGATCATGATAAAGATAATCAACATATAGTTAGATACTAATACAGAATTGTGGGAGGTTGTCAAATTTGATAAAGTTTTTTGAAAATTTGAAGTGATAATTACAATGTTATTTGTAGGCTCATAGGATTCCCAGTAATACATGAATTACACCAATTAGTTCTAATAGGAATGGCAGAGGAAAAAGCATGAAGTAGCCCAGAAATAATTTATGTTACATGAATAAACTCTTCTTTGGCTCATACTAATAGGTTTCATGATTATATAAACAGTTACAAAATGAATCAAAAACAGAAATTGTCACTTACAGAAACTTTTCTTTATGTAAAACTTTAAATATTCACAATTTTAACTTATTCTGTCTGAAAACTACATTTATTCATAGATTTTTACTATGCATAAAAGTTAAAATAAATGTGGTACTGTAATTTATATTTTACATTTGAATAATTACTACTAATTATGTACTTATGGAATAGGTAAATTAATCTTTTATATCTTGAAGAATGTAAACATATTAACACTTTTTGTTAATATGAAAGATCATCATTTCACAGTCCCTTATATTAGGCTGAATGATCTAGCAGACAGAGAAATTTTCCAACTTTCCTAACATTTTGCATTTTTCTCTTGTCTTTTTTGTCAAAATAGAATTATCTGAATTTAAGTAAAGTGCTATGTTTTATTTTGCTCCTAGGGTATCCTAGGGTCTGCCTACATCAAGACTTGTTAGTGTTAAGAAAAAGATAAGCTCAGTTGTAAAGAAAATTCCCAATGTAAAACTCTTTGTCACTTTGCCATGATTCTAGTCAAGGTGCTTCTCGCCTCAGCAGTGCCTTTACCTGGCACTATCATTTAACTTGCACTTTCCTATTCCTTGCACAAGGGAAAGCCTTTGAAACCATATTTTATCTCTACATTCCTTTATCTCTAATCCTAGAGGATTATAAGTTAGAACAATTACTTTATTTTCAGTAACACTTTATGTTGATTTAGTTTTAATCTCCTTGGTACAGTTTTAAACTCCAAAAGGTATAAGAATTAGTCATTACTTCAAGGAACTTTAATTTCTCTTAGTAGAGATTAGTGTTTAGAGACTGAGATCTGGACTCACATTGCTTAATGCTGTTCTTTTCCCTTTCTGTATTTATAATTTCCCTTCTCAATAGTAAAAAAGTCTAACTCTAATCTACCTCAGTGTATTTACTCATTTTTTTCAAATTAGAAGTTACAGAAAAAAATTTTAGATTTCTTAATTCATACTGCAATAAAAAATCTACTAATTAGAATTCAAATTTTGTCTGTGGTTTTTATTTTTTAGGCAAAATTTACATACGATGAAATACATGAGATTTTAGAATACAGTTTTGTGAGTTTTAATAAATTTACCCCCATCTAACCTACACCTCTATCAAAATAAAGAACATTACTACCACCACACAATGTTCCCTAGTATCCTACACTTTTAATTCCAAAAGGCAACATTTGTTGTTTTTCCACCACAAACAAGTTTGAAGTTTTTAGACTTTCGTGTAACAGAAATCATGAAGTAGCTACCATTTTATGACTAGTTTCTTTCACTCACCATAATGTCCATGTAATTCACCTATCTTAATGAATGTATCTTATTAATGGTGAATAGTGTAGCATAGTATACATAGAAAACAATTTGTTTATTCATTCTCCTGTTGATCAGCCCTTATAATGTTTTCATATTCTAACAAATATAAATAGAATTGTTATGAAAGACTTTTTCTGGTTTTATATTTTTATTCATCTTAAATAAATGACTTTAACTGGAATAGTAGGTCATACAATATGTGTTTGTTTAAAATCAGAATAATCTGCCAATTTGTCAGAGGTTCCATCAAAGAAGGTCCCACTAGTGATAGATGAGAGTTCCTAATCCACATCCTTGCCAACATTTAATGTTGCCAGAATGTAGTTTTCCTATTTGAGTATGTCTCGTGTGATATTCATTTGCATATACCCAATGATTCATCATATTGAACACTTTTTATGTGCATATTGGCCCATTATTTTGCTTCCTTTGTGAATTGTTTGTTCAAATTGATTGCCAATCCTTTGTTATGTGTTTATTCTTAGTTTTAATTTATTTAGGATATTATATATTCTGGACACATGTTTTGTTGTGATATGTGTTTTATAAATGTTGTTTCTAGACCACAGCTTGCCTATTCATATTTTTAACTGTGTCATATAATGTAAATATGTTTCTAAATTTGATTAGGTCTAATTTATCATTTTTTCCTTCATTATTTATGTGTCCTGAGTAAGAAATGTGCATCTACTACAGATTTCAAAATAATCTGCTTTTTTTACCTAAAAGCTTTGCTTGTATCTTTTTTATGTAAGTCTGTAGTCTATTTCTAATTGTGTGTGTGTGTGTGTGTGTGTGTGTGTGTGTGTGTGTGTGTGTGTGTATGTTTCTGATGTGAGCCATAAAAATTCATTTTAGTCCATATGCATATTTACTTTATCAAGCCTCATGTGAGAAAGACATTCCTATCTCCACTGAAGTCCTTTAGAGACATTGAAACCAATGCATTTATCATAAAGGTAATTTTTGGACTCCCTATTATGTTTCACTGATGTATTTTTCTAATTATTGTTTAGAGGAAAACTTATAACTACAAGTGCCTATGTCAAAAGAGAATGAAAGAATGATTTCAAATTAATAACCTAACCGTCCACCCCAAGAAAATAGAAAAACTAAACTCTGAGTGGGCAGGAGGAAGAAAACAAACAAAAGTTAAGCAGAATAAATTAAATTTTGCATAGGAGAACAATAGAATAAATCAAAAAATCTAAAGTTGGTTCTTTGAAATAATCAACAATAGTGACAAAACTTTAGTTAGACTTATAAAAGAATGCTCAAATTACTAAAATTAAAAATGAAGGACAGGATATCATTTCAGACTTTAAAGAAATAAAAATAAGTTAAATTATGAGTAAATATATGCCAACGTATTAGTTCACCTAGATAAAACTGATACATGTCTAGAAATTAAAATGCTATCAAACCAACTCAAAAGGAATAGAAAATATGGATAGAACTTTAAAGAGATTAAGTAGGTGACTCTAAAACTTTTCACAAAGAAAAACCCAGGTCTAGTTGGCTTCACTGGTGAATTTTAGAAATAAATTAAGGAATTAAATTCAATTCTATGTAAACTGTTTCAAAAAACAGAAAAGGAGAGAACACTTACCAACTCATTCTGAGATTAATATTAACTTGTTACCAATACCAGACAAATTCGTTACAAAAAAGACTACTGATCTATATATAATATAAATGCAGGTAACAAAAAAACAAATTAAAAAATACTCCAATATTTCAGTACACCTGCGGTCCTAGCTACTCAGGAGACTAAGGTAGAATTGCTTGGGCCCAGAAGTCAAAGCTGCAGTGAACCATGATGAAACCACCGCTTTCCAGCATGGGCGACATTGTCAAAAAGAAAAGTATATATATTATGTGTAATATATATTAAGAAATCAAATATATATTTAATATATATAATATATTGTATATGTAGCATACATTATAACATAATATATCATTATAATATATAATCTATATTAGTATATAGATTTACTAATATATAGTTACATTATATTACATATAATGTATATATTTACTTATGTATTATATACATAAAATCTATATTAGCATATATACTATTATATATTTTATAATTATATAACTAATATAGAATATATTAGTATAGATAATATACATTAGTATTATATATACAATATATATTAGTAAATCAAATTCAGCAAAATATAAAAGTAATTATGTATAATGACCAGGTGGGATCTATCCCAGGAATTTAAGATTAGTTTAATATCCAAAACTAAAAACCAAAATATCATAAAGGAACCCCAAACCCCACATGATTATCCTAGTAAATGAAGATAATGTATTTTTCAAAATCCAACGTCTTTCATGAAAAAAGTAATGAAATACAATAAAAGTGAACTTTCTTAACCTTATGTAGGACATTTGTGAAAAACCCACAACTAATATCTCACTTAATAGGAAAGATTGAAAGCTTTTTCCATAAGATTAGCTACATGAAAAATTTATTTATATTGGCCATTTCTATTCAACATTGTAAAGGAGGCTGTAGGCAGGTAAATTGGATAAGAAAAAGAAATAATAGGCATCCAGTTTACAAAGGAAGAAATAAAACTTTTTGTAGTTGATTACATTGTATACAGAAAATCTTAAAGACTCAACTAAAAAAATAAAACTAACAAATAAGTCCAACAAATTTGTAGGATACCAAATTAATACACAAAAAATCCATTTGAATTTTAAATACTATCAATAAAAAATCCAAACTGAAATTAAGAAACAATTATATCTACAATAGAATTAACAAGAATAAAATACTTAGGGATAAATTTAACAAAAGAAACGCAAGATCTGTACATTAAAAACTATAAAACACTTTGAAAGAAATTAGAGAATACCTGAATAAATGGGAAGATATTAAAATATATGGGTTGGGACATGCTGTTAATATTGTTAAAAGACAATTGCTCTCATGTTGATCTATAGATTCAATACAATTATTATGTAAATTCCAAATGAATTTCCTGCAGAAAAAGGTAAAATTATCTAAAAATTTATATGGAAAGGCAAGTGACTCAGAAGAGTCAAAACAATTTTGAAAAATGAATGGAGTTAGAGGACTCACATTTTCTGATTTCAAATTTTACTTTAAAACTACAAATATTAGAACAGAATAATACTAGCATAAGAATAGACTTAAATAAGTTGGGCCTGGTGGAAGGCACCTGTAGTTCCAGTTCCTCAGGAGGCTGAGGCAGTATTGTCACTTGAGCCCAGGGGTTGGAGGCTGCAGTGTGCCATAATGGTATCTGTGAATAGCCATTGCACTCTAGTCTGCACAACATAGTAAGATCCTGTCTCAAAAAAAAGAAGAAAAAAGAGAAGGAAGAAACAGGTAGAGGAAAAGAAGAAAGGAAGGAAGGGAGGGAAGGAGGGAGGAAGGAAGGAAAGAAGGAGGCAAGGGACATAGAGGCAGGGGACAAGAAAATAAAAGGAAAAGGAATTGATTTAAATATCAATAAACTAGAATTAAGAGTCCAAAAGTCAAGCCATATATTTATGGTCAATTTATTTTTGACAAGAGTGCCAAGACAATTCAAAGACGATATAGATTTTTACCAATGGTGCTAGGACAACTAAGAAGCCATGTGCAAAAGAATGAAGTTGGGCTGCTACCTCATGCCATACAAAAATATTAACTGCAAATGTATTATAGACCTAAATGCTAAATGTAATAACTAAACTATAAAACTTTTGGAAGAAAACATAGGTATAAATCTTTATATTCTTAGACTAGGCAATGGGGTAGCTATGGAGTAGCTATGGCAACAGAGGCACAAATAACAACAACAGTTAGTCTTATCAAAATTAAAATATTTCTCCTTCAAAAGGCATCACCAATAAATAAAATAACAAATAGAGGCACAAAATAAATAAATAGGTGTAAATAAATAAGGCATAAATAAATAAGGCATCACCAATAAATAAAATAACAAATAGAGGCACAAATAACAACATGTATTAGTCTTATCAAAATTAAAACATTTCTGCTTCAAAAGGCATCACCAATAAATAAAAAGACAAACTAAAGAATAGGAAAAATCAGCCAGGGTCAGTGGCTCATGCATGTAATCCCAGCTCTTTGGGAGGTCAAGGTAGGTGATCACCTGAGATCAGGAGTTCAAGACCAGCCTGACTAACATGGGGAAACCCTATCTCTATTAAAAGTACAAAAATTAGCTGGATGTGGTGGTGGGTGCCTGTTATCCCAGCTACTTGGGAGGCTGTGGCAGGAGAATCACTAGAATCCAGGGGGCAGAGGTTTTAGTGAGCCGAGATCACACCATTGCACTCCAACCTGGGTGACAAGAGCAAAAGTCCCTCTCAAAAAAAAAAAAAAAAAAATGGGAAAAATATTTACAAACCACGCACCTGATAAGGGCCTGTATTCAGAATATAAAGAAAACTTTACAACTCATCAATAAAATGATAACCTATTTTGCTAATAGACAGAATATTTTAACAGACATATTTCTGAAGGGTGTACAAATGGTCAACAAGCCCACAGAGTCATTCTAGATATTCTATGTCATTAGAGAAACGTAAATAGAAACCACAAAGGGTTTGAAATTATTTCAAATGCATTAGGGTTGCTGAAACAAAAAAGACAAATACCACCAAGTGTTCATGGGAGGCTGAAAAAATGTGAAACCTCATTTCTTGTTGCTAGGATGTTAAGTGGTGGAGCCATGTTGGAACAGTCTGGTTGTTCCTCAAAGTGTTAAACATGGAGCTGTCATAAAACTCAGCAATCCCAATTCTACGTATATTTTGAAGACAAGTTAAGATATATATTTCCATAAAAATCTGTTATATGAATATTCACAGCAGCAGTACTTATAATAGCCAGAAAGTGAAAACATCTAAATATCCATCATCTGATAAATGAATAAATAAAATGTAGTGTATCTTACAATCAGATATTATTTGGCAATGAAAAAGAATGAAGTACTTAAACATACTACATGTTTGAGCCTTAGAAAGAGTTTGTAAAGTGAAATAAAGCATTTCCAAAGGATGAAATATTGTGATTCCCCTGTATGAAATGTTCAGAACAAGTAAATCAATCTGTAGAGACAGATCATGGATTATCAGTTGCCAAAGGTATGTAGGGAAGGGTTGGATATATGAGGAATAACTACCATTGGGTATAGCGTTTCCTTTGCAAGTGAAAAAGTAATGTTCTAAATGTACATTGTGGGAATGGTTGAACAACTGAATATAATAGTCACAGAATTCTACACTTTAAAGAATGAATTTTATTGCATGTGAATCACATCTCAGCAGAACTGATGCAGTCCCAAAACGGGTTTAGCCCAGGATGCTTGATTTTACCCAGGAAAGAATTAGAGGGTGAGCTGGTGGTATTAGACCACAATCTTTTACTGAACAGTACTGCTCCTTTGGAGCAGGGCTAACTCACAGGCAGTGCACCCAGAGAGGGCAAAATATGGGTGCTTGGAAACTATATTGATACTCAGGCAAATCCACTTTCAATCACATGCAAATTAAAGGCAGGCTCAGTGCAAATTCAGGGATGGGTTATTTGGAACTTTCTAGGAAATAGGACAGTACCTTTCAGGTCATTGCTAGGGAAAGGAGAGGTAACTTCTGGGTCATTGCCATGGCATTTATAAAATGTCATGGGGTTGGTGGGAGTGTCTTATGCTAATAAGCTATGAGGTCAGCTAGGGATCACTATTTTCACCACCTGCTGGTTTCTGCAGGTTTCTTTACTTATCCCTACTGGAGCAGATTCTACTCTGGTCAGCAGGGTTGTGACTAGAAAACAAGCCCTGCTGTTCTCTTCCCTCTATAAATTGACTTGTAGAGAATTGACACTTTCACAATGCAAATCCTCCCAACCCTAAACATACAGGACACTTTATTTGTTTAGTTCATTAATTTTTCGAAACGGTTTAGTTATTTTGGGCATGGAGAACTAGCATCTGTTAAGTTCCTTCCTAAATATTATCTTAAGTTTGATGCCATTGTGAAATGGAATTCTTTTTATTTCTAATCTTCTCATTACTTGCTGCTAGTATAGAATACAATGGATTATCGTCTTCTATCATTCAAGCATGATAATTTGCCTATCAGTTTTAGCAGTGGTTTTATAGCACTTGTAGGAATTTCCACAAAAAGAATCCATATGAAATTAGGGACAATGTTACTCCTTATTTTCTGTTCTTTATGCTTTTTTATTTCTTCCTGTTACACTGTACAGGCAAAGGCATCCACTGTAACGATGACTAGAATAGTAAGATGGATATCCCTTCATCATTCCTAAGTTTGGGGGAAACACTGATATTTCACTAATAGAATGATATTAACTGTAAGTTTTTCATGGATGCTCTGTATCAGATACAAAACCTTTATTTCTTTTCTTTGTTGATAACTTGTATAATAAACTAATGTTGAATTTGGTCAAATGTGTTTTCCTATCCTTGAAATAAATGATAATGCTATTTTTGCTCCTTTATTTTGGTGAATTACAGTGATATTTCAATATTAAAATAACTTGCATTCTTTGAGGGAAACCTACCTGGTAATTATGTACAATTTATTTTATATTTAGCTGGATTTTATATACAATTATTCTCTTAAGAGCTTTTGTATTTATATTTATGAGGCATGTGGGTTTGTAATTTTATTTATTTAATTATGTTAGCCAGGTTTAACTATCAGTGTTATATTAACCTCATAAAAGGCCCTCTCTATATTCTGAAGGAATTTTGGAAAGATTTTATTATTTGGATAAATTGGATAAATGTTTCAAAATGTTTACAGTTAATCCACCTGTGCTGGAGTTATCTTTGTTAAGGAAATTTAAATTGTAAATCCAAAGTCTTTAGTAAATGTAGGACATTTTAGACATTCATTTATTTGTTTGTTTGTTTGTTTTTGAGAGAAAGTCTCACTCTGTCACGCAGGCTGGAGTGCAGTGGCACAAAAGGGATAACTGCAGCCTTGATGTTCTGGGCTCAAGCTGCCTGTACCCCCCCAGTAGCTGGAATTAAAGATATGTGCCATTGCTCCCGTATAATTATTTTATTTTTGTAGTGATAGGGTCTCGCCATGTTGCCCTGGGTGGTCTCCAACTCTTAGGGTCAAGTGTTCCACCACGTCTTCATAGCTTCCAAAAGTACTGAGACTACAGACATAAGCCACTGCACTGAGCCTTTATTTCACTTTTAACTGAGTTTAATTGTTAATATGGTTCAACTCAGGTCTGTCTTTTTTTTAAAGATGTATTTCTTTCTCATTTTCCTCTCATTTGCACCCCCTTCTCTTAGATTATTTTAGTGTTATATCTGAAAATTATAATATGCATTTTAAGCTTATCATTGACTATTAATGTTTATATTTTACCGTATCCCATAAAATGAGAAAACAACTGCAGTTATATATCTTCATTTATCTCCATTAGGTTGTGCTATTTTTTAATATATAGCATCTACACATTTTATGAAATCTATACTACATTGTTATAATTTTTACTTGAATGAACAAATTTAGGATAATAAAATTAGCTAATGAAAATGTATTTTTGATAAAGTTTGGCTGTGTCCTCACCCCATCTTGAATTGTAGTTCCTATAATCCCCATATGTTGTGGGAGGGACCCAAAGGGAGATAATTTAATCATGGGGGTGGTTACCCTCATGCTGTTCTCAGAGATAGTGAGTGAGTTCTCATGAGATCTGTTGGTTTTATAATGGGCTTGTTCCACTTTGCTCAGTACTTCTTTTACCTGCCACATGTGAAGAAGGATGTGTTGCTTCCCCTTATGCCATGATTGTAATTTTCCTGATGCCTCCAAGCTCTGTGGAACTCTCAGTCAATTAAACCTCTTTTCTTCCTGAATTACTCAGTAATTTACTCACAGCAGCATGAGACAGAATGGACCAATACAATTATATATCTACCAACATATTTACCATTACCAATGTTTTTATTGCTGGTTTAATCTCTTCAGTCCAAACAACTTTCTTTACTATTTTATGTAGTGTATTTTTTGTATGATGCTGCCATGACACTTGCACATTACTTAAAGGGGAAAATAATGCCAATTAGAGTTGTCTACTTGGTGAAAATATTATACAAATATTAAATGAATTTGAAGTCATTTTCAGATAAACAAATACTATAGACGTTAACCGCAGGGAGGTTTGGCCAGTAGTAGTTCTACAATCATGGACAAAGTGGGAAAACAACTTAAGCTATACTTGCTTTTCTCTTTGGAAAGAGAAAAATAAAAATTTTTTTCGGGAAAAAAAAAAAAAAAAAAGCTTTGCTCAGAGTAGAAGAAAAACCTGTTAAGACGGAAGATGGAGGTTGTAATGCAGTTAATAAAAAATATATTAGTGGCCTCTAAATTAATTTTGTTATTCGTTTATTTTTATACTTATACTTAATTTTAACAATTCAGTATTTTAAAAATTGCTTACTTCATTTAGAAAATTCAGATTTCCTACTTCGGCTAAAAAAATGTCTGCAGATCTTACATTAGTCCCTCATATATCCTGTTAACATGTAGTAGATCTTGAAATTCCAAGTTCTCTACAGTCATCTCCATCTTTACCTTGCCTATTAATGAAATGCATTTTATATTAATTATGGGTATTGATACCCCCATAATGAAAAATATGAAAAATGATGCACAAAAATTAATTTTGGTCTATATGGAAAAGTAGAAAGGGTGACTGAAGAGCTTTTTAGAAAATTACATGTATATGTGTCTGGGTATTTATATCACCAGAAGTTTCCAGCTTGCAATTGCTCCTCAATCCATCACCTACTTGAAACAACACAGTGTCTCTCACCACCTTCCACATCCTTCACACTACTGCTTTCCTGAAATCTACGTCCTAGTTCATGGACAATAAATTCAGTGGAGCCAAAATGTATATATTAAATTTTACAATTTTGGACACATTCTTATGTAAAACATGTTATATAGAGGCTGAGATTTTAGAGAAACATTAAGAGAATATTTTACTTCTGGTATGTTATAGGTCAAGATAGTTTTAGGGATGATTTTTAAAAACTAAAATGTAATTCTACTCTTACAAAGATTAATTTGAAATTAAAGAATAAAACATTTTCACAAAGGCTTTTATAACATTTTAAAGTTTGGGGACACAATATATTCAATATATCAGTAGGTGGGTAGAGATAGGTACATAGTAGATGACAGCTAGCTAGATAAACTTGATTTATTAAAGTCATACTACATTCTCTGGGAGGAAGTTAATAATTAATTTTCCTTACATTTTCTCTTATTTGACCACATGCTGTCTCATATGTTTCTGACATCTTGATTTATATTATAATACTCTCAGTAACAATAAAAATAAGGCAGGGATATCTGAAATTGAGATTAAAGATAATTAATTTCAGGAAAGGTATATTTTCATTTTCTTATCTCTTCAACTTAATGTGATGTTATTTATAAATAATTCTACCAAAATTTCAATAATCATTAAAATCCTATTTACTTCAACTGGAGGGTAGACTTTAAAGTCTACTTATTGGCCAGCATAACTATAAAACTTCACGAACTATCTTCCTTCACGGTGGTGTTTTGCAATTTATTTTCTGGTTAAATTCTTAAGTAAGACGATTCACTTTTTTTAAGACAGAAATATTTCAACTGGTGATAATGTCACAACTAAAACTCAGTTGCTCATGGATTCAGAAAATAGACTGTCATTACAGTGTGACTGTCTGAATATTTCAAGCAATAAAACAAATTTAGCATGGAACCCACCCACCAAAATATGTTTGAGTAGTGCAATGTTTGACATGCACAGATATGTTAATAAGATAGAATTTTATAGTATTAACTTAGGTATCTTGGCTCATTAGAAATCTACCTAAAATGAGGGAAAATATTAAAATTCAAGTGTAATTTTTAGGGGAAATGGGGGAGGGACAGGGGTGTGGGGAGGTGGGGAGAGATAGCATGGGGAGAAATGCCAGATATAGGTGA